CATCCAGAATCCTCTTGACTGTGTAAATAGGTTGATTGTCCAGCAGACGGGCGGGTGGTGGGGTGTTGGTGGAAGGGCACAGAGGACTGGTGGAGATAGGCTTTAGTTGGGACACATGGAAGGTGGGATGAATCTTCATAGAGGATGGTAAACGGAGTCTGATGGCAGATGGGTTGATGATCTTATCCACTGGAAATGGACCGATGAACCTGGGTGCTAGTTTCCGGGGGAAATCTTTCAGATTAATGTCACGTGTAGAAAGCCATACCTCTTGCCCCACCTTGTAAGATGGGGCGGATGAATGGTGTCGATCAGCAAATCGCTTGTTTTGTTGTGACGTCCTGAGTAATGCCCTCTGTGTTTGGTTCCAGATCCTGTGGCAACGGCGGATGTGATGCTGTACAGAAGGAACCAAAACTTCGATCTCTTCTCTGGGGAACAAAGGAGGGTTATAGCCAAGAGATGCTTCAAATGGAGAAAAACCGGTAGCAGATGAGGTATGACAGTTATGGGAGTATTCTACCCAAGGTAGGTATGTGCACCAGGAGGAAGGGTTGTTGTTGATGACGCATCTCAGTGTGGACTCCAACTCTTGATTGCACCTCTCGGACTGCCCATTGGATTGTGGGTGGTAACCAGAAGTGAGGCTGACTGTAGCACCCAATGCAGAACAAAAAGCTTTCCACACCTGAGAGATAAACTGGGGTCCACGGTCGGAGACAATATCAGASGGGATGCCATGAAGGCGAAAAACATTCTTAACCAAGAGTTGYGCAGTTTCCAGGGCTGTGGGTAGTTTCACCAATGGGACAAAATGAGCAGCTTTAGAAAATCTGTCAACAATAGTGAGGATGACCGTGTTACCTTCAGATGGAGGTAGACCCGTAACAAAATCCAYGGCGATATGGGACCAAGGGCGGGCAGGGATGGGCAGTGGACGTAAGAGACCGGCAGGTTGTTGGTTGCTGCTTTTATTAGTAGCACAGACAGTACAGGCAGTTACGAACTCTTTGATATCTTGATTCATGGATGACCACCAGAAGTATCTTTTAGCAAAACTAATCATGCGGGAGATGCCAGGGTGACAAGTAAAGCG